CCCCACGGCAGGCCACCTGAGACTGTGTCCTGCAGCCGGCCCCACGGCAGGCCACCTGAGACTGTGTCCTGCAGCCGGCCCCACGGCAGGCCACCTGAGACTGTGTCCTGCAGCCGGTCTCACAGCAGGCCACCCGAGACTGTGTCCTGCAGCCGGCCCCACGGCAGGCCACCTGAGACTGTGTCCTGCAGCCGGCCCCACGGCAGGCCACCTGAGACTGTGTCCTGCTGCCGGCCCCACGGCAGGCCACCTGAGACTGTGTCCTGCAGCCGGCCCCACGGCAGGCCACCTGAGACTGTGTCCTGCAGCCGGCCCCATAGCAGGCCACCTGAGACTGTGTCCTGCAACCGGTCTCACAGCAGGCCACCTGAGACTGTGTCCTGCAGCCGGCCCCATAGCAGGCCACCTGAGACTGTGTCCTGCAACCGGTCTCACAGCAGGCCACCCGAGACTGTGTCCTGCAGCCGGCCCCATAGCAGGCCACCCGAGACTGTGTCCTGCAGCCGGCCCCATAGCAGGCCACCTGAGACTGTGTCCTGCAACCGGTCTCACAGCAGGCCACCTGAGACTGTGTCCTGCAGCCGGCCCCATAGCAGGCCACCTGAGACTGTGTCCTGCAACCGGTCTCACAGCAGGCCACCCGAGACTGTGTCCTGCAGCCGGCCCCATAGCAGGCCACCTGAGACTGTGTCCTGCAGCCGGCCCCATAGCAGGCCACCTGAGACTGTGTCCTGCAACCGGTCTCACAGCAGGCCACCCGAGACTGTGTCCTGCAGCCGGCCCCACGGCAGGCCACCCGAGACTGTGTCCTGCAGCCGGCCCCATAGCAGGCCACCTGAGACTGTGTCCTGCAACCGGTCTCACAGCAGGCCACCCGAGACTGTGTCCTGCAGCCGGCCCCACGGCAGGCCACCTGAGACTGTGTCCTGCAGCCGGCCCCATAGCAGGCCACCCGAGACTGTGTCCTGCAGCCGGCCCCATAGCAGGCCACCCGAGACTGTGTCCTGCAGCCGGCCCCATAGCAGGCCACCTGAGACTGTGTCCTGCAACCGGTCTCACAGCAGGCCACCCGAGACTGTGTCCTGCAGCCGGCCCCACGGCAGGCCACCTGAGACTGTGTCCTGCAGCCGGCCCCATAGCAGGCCACCCGAGACTGTGTCCTGCAGCCGGCCCCATAGCAGGCCACCTGAGACTGTGTCCTGCAACCGGTCTCACAGCAGGCCACCCGAGACTGTGTCCTGCAGCCGGCCCCATAGCAGGCCACCCGAGACTGTGTCCTGCAGCCGGCCCCATAGCAGGCCACCTGAGACTGTGTCCTGCAACCGGTCTCACAGCAGGCCACCCGAGACTGTGTCCTGCAGCCGGCCCCACGGCAGGCCACCTGAGACTGTGTCCTGCAGCCGGTCTCACAGCAGGCCACCTGAGACTCTGTCCTGCAGCCGGCCCCATAGCAGGCCACCTGAGACTGTGTCCTGCAACCTGTCTCACAGCAGGCCACCCGAGACTGTGTCCAGCAGCCGGCCCCACAGCAGGCCACCTGAGACTGTGTCCTGCAGCCGGTCTCACAGCAGGCCACCCGAGACTGTGTCCTGCAGCCGGCCCCACGGCAGGCCACCTGAGACTGTGTCCTGCAGCCGGTCTCACAGCAGGCCACCTGAGACTCTGTCCTGCAGCCGGCCCCATAGCAGGCCACCTGAGACTGTGTCCTGCAACCTGTCTCACAGCAGGCCACCCGAGACTGTGTCCAGCAGCCGGCCCCACAGCAGGCCACCTGAGACTGTGTCCTGCAGCCGGTCTCACAGCAGGCCACCCGAGACTGTGTCTCGCCGCCGGTCCCTCGGCCGGCCACCAGAGACTTTGCCCAAGAGGGTTTTTGGGTTTTCTTTTGTTTTCATCCACCCTAAGTGGATCGTTTTTTGTTCTGGACTCTGTTTTTGTTTTCTGCTCTCCTGGCCTGTTTCCCCCTCCGCCCGCCCTGGGCGGGTTGTTTTTTGGACTTTCTTTTTCAGGGGGCGTCTGGAATCCGCCCTTGAGGGGGGGGGCTCTGTTGGGATCCTCAGGCTTGCCCACCTGAGGGCGCCGAGGATCCTCTTCTGCTTTCTTTGTTTTTCTCTAGTGTGAGATCAGAATCTAATTCTTCCTTGTCTCTGCCTCACAGGAATCCTGTCTCCTCGTTAAAGCTCTGGATGGGCTTAACCTTCTGTCTCTTCGTGAAAGCTCTGGATGGGCTTAACCTTCTGTCTCCTTGTGAAGCTCTGGATGGGCTTAACCTTCTGTCTCCTTGTGAAGCTCTGGATGGGCTTAACCTTCTGTCTCCTCGTGAAGGCTCTGGATGAACTTAACCTCCTGTCTCCTCGTGAAGCTCTGGATGGGCTTAACCTTCTGTCTCCTTGTGAAGCTCTGGATGAACTGTCTCTCAGGCAACCTGTCTCTGGCTTGCAGCTGTAGGAGAGTTAACCAGCTATCTGCCCTGGTGACCCACCCCGAAGATCTCTACATGGTGTGAACCTAATGACTTCAATGAGGAGTTTTCCTAGAGGTTCCCATATGAAGGTCCCCTGTTGTTCTCTACGTTGAGCTGGAAGCTCAGCCTGAAGGTTCCCTCGTGTTTTCCCTGTCGTTTCCTATTGTGAGCTGGAAGCTCAAACTTTGAACTGCCAGGCTAAGCCTGAAGCTAAGTGCTTAGCTTCACATGAACTCTGCTGATCTTCAGTCTCCAGTCCCAGTCATGTCTCCAGTAAACCAGCCCCTGATCCATTCCAGTCCCTGTGCTTATACCCTGTGTGTCTGAACTTTATTAAACATTTGAACTTTTACCCAGTTTCTCCGTGAGTGTTTCTGCATCTTGGGCTAGCACTAAAACCCATCATGACAGCAGGTAAAGTAGCTCCCTCTGCAGCACGGTGGTGGCAGCATTAGTAGAAGAAGAGCTGCAGCCTCTGGTTCTGTGAAACCACCGTGGTGTAAATGGGTTTCAGATCATCACCTTAGCCTCAAACTTCCTGCTGATCTGTGAGAATGAATCTATCCACAGCAGAGCTGAACCTAAGCGCTGCTGGAAAGCTGCAGCTCATCATTGCTGCTTTTATACACCTCAGATTAGATAACTTCACACATGGAACCACAGGAAGCTTTGGGAGGAGATTCCAGCTTTTCACTGGAGAATTTGGCCTCTGCATAGACGACTTTATTCAGGACATCTTCATCCTGAAGGAATAAAAACAAAAAAAGTCAAACGAAAAAGCATCAAATAATTATAGTCCTTTAAACTATTTTTCACAATTTTTCACTAATTCAATTCTATTCAGTTTATTTCTATAGCTCCAATTCACATCATGTCATCTCAGGTCACTTTCCAGTTCACCAGATCATCCAGTCAGATTGATTCAAAGTTTTCTATCTAAGGAAAACCAGCTGATTGCATCGACTCATTGACTCTTCAGCAATCCCTCAAACTAAGCATGCTTGTAGCGACAGTGGAGAGGAAAAACTCCCTTTGAGTTTTCCCTTGGTCCAGCAGACGAGCTCCTTCAGGAGAAGACTCCTCCTACCCAGATGCACCACAGAGCGCCACAGGAAATCATTTCTGCCTGTGGTCATTGTAGAAGCAGTTTTATTGTCTTATATCAGAAATCAGAATTAGAATATATCCTACAACATGGCCCTATACTTACTTAGCAACCAAACTTAAAGGTCAGTTTTGAGTCTTAGTAACACCATGGTCTCCAAGGCTGCATGAGGGGGTTTGGCAAAAACAGAGAATAGCTGTATAAACATTTCTTGAGGGTCGCAGTGACTTTGACGCAAATCAGCACACGTGAATTCCAGTAAGATGTCGACACAGTATTCCTGTGCATATGCAGTTACGTAATGCGATGTGGAAACTATAAAGGCTGGTTCAGCTGGACTGAAGGTTGGGGGAATTATAACAGACGTGATGATGCGTTGCTGAATGTATGAAGTTTTTAAGACAGCTGTATGAATTTGGTTTTGTAAATAAATGTTCCCCCCTCCGGATGATGGAATGGTGCGAATCGTTGGCCTTCTTTCTGTCATAAGGGAATTCATTGGTGGTTCAGTGGTAGAATTCTTTCCTGCCATGTGGGAGGCCCAGGTTCGATTATCGGCCATTATGGTACATTTATGGTACATTGGTAGAATTCCCAATATATAAATATATATACTAGTAATTTCCCTCTGGGATTAGGGTTAGGGTTCTGATTGTGAATGGGAAGCCTGCTGAACCCTGACTGGGGTTCAAGGAGACAGAAGCAGACATAGAAAAAGAAGCATAGATACAAAAGGCAACTGTCAACCAGCTCCACAGGCGGCCCCGTCCAGGAAACACACAGCCAGGCAGACGAGCTCCGAGCCAGCTCCCATGTCAGAGGATGAAGAGAGCACATCCAGTTAGTCACAGTCAGAGAAACAGGACTACACTGGAAAACAGGCCAAGCTCCAACATCTAGAAACAAAGGTGTTGATGGCAGCAGCACAGCTGATATTTCTCTCCAGGATGGAGTCACAGCCAAACAGGAACAGACCAGATGAAGCTACTATGAGAAAAAGCAGAGAGAGCAGAACGTTAGAGATTGAACTAACAGATTCTGCAGAGTGGGAGAATAGAGATAGAATGAAGCAGAATGATGAAAAAGGGGTCCCTATGTCCTCCAGCAGTCTAAGCCTATAGCAGCAGAACTATATCTGCAGTTGGTCTGCCTCTATCAATGTTCAGCTCTGCTAGATTTTCAAGCCTTGGGGGATTATTTTTGCTAAACTTAACCAAACCAGAATGTTCTCCCTCGCCTTTCTGCAGGGTTCTTTGGTCTTAATACAGCTGTTTGATCTTTAATTTACTATAAAGAACCTCTGAGACCATAAACAGACATTTATTAGCTGATAAGTTTTTAAACAACACAAATCTGAAGAAGTTAAAAGTGGTTTAAAACGCTCCGTAAGGAAGTCAGGTTTGGGAACCATTCTGCTTACTGGGTGCTGAGAGGTGGTTGCTGCTACAGCTCTGCAGCTTTGGTCGGTTTCTGCTTCTGTTGATTTGGTGTTCCTCTGTAAGCTGTGTAGATTTCCACTTCAGCAGATATCCACTGTTCATCTTCCTCTCCAACATTTTCATTCATTCTGATGCTCTTCATCAAAGGAAAAGTTAGTTTCTATTTTATCTGGTTATCAGAAGCATTTAAAATGTCAAACTTATAGGTTTTCATGCTCACCTCAGTGGCTGGAGTCTTGGCTGCTCAGGAGGAGAAAACATGATGTTAAGTTCTGCTTCTAGATCTTCTGTCTACGTTTACTTTCTGTTTTCTAAAGATCATGGAATATTTAAGATGAATAAAGTCATAGAAGTCATGTTTCACTAATTGTTTTCATTTTCTTGGACAAAAAATGTATGAAAATTCCAAAAACAGTTTCTGTTTCTGTGGCTTTAGCTTGTTTTGGACAAATGATTGAGTATCATGGTGACCCCTGATAAAGACCACCAGCCAAATGCAGCTGATCTGCTTAAGGAATCCAAGCTGTGATGGTCTCCTCATGTCGCTACATCTTTCCTTCTCTCTGTCCTGTACGATCAGCAAAATTACAGTCTTTGTTGTGTTTTCTGCTGACTTACCTTCTTGATGTTCAGATATTTTTCTGCAGCAAACCAGCAGAGCCACAGATAACAGGATGGTGAAGATGATTAGAGTCAGAGGCACAAACTGCAGAAGAGCTGCTGAAAGGAGAACCAGTTAGCTTGGATCAGTAATCATAGTGGGCTGTGGTTCTGTTACTGGCTAACAATCTCTGATTATTTCTACCACATGCATCTAAATACATTCAGAAGGACACAGACATCTTCTGTTAGCAGACAGCAGAGTTTCAGCTCCTCAGTTTAATGCAGAACCTAAAGAAAGCCTCCATCTTTAGATGAGCTGATGGAAATTCTCCATTCAGATTAAAGAGGTTAGAATGATGTGAAGATTGCATCCATTCCTTACTGCACACCTTTAGATGTTGTTGTGTTCTTCTGAGTCAGAACAGACATATCTGTAGGTTGAGGGGAAGCAGACGGTCTGGAACTTCCTGAACTGGAGCTTGAACTGCTTGGTGGTGAAGAGACGGACGGATCGAACGCTGTGAGACATGTTTGCATTGTGGCTTGATTAGAGCTGCTGAGGAAGACAGTTTTATATTTAATTGATCAGTGATGCTCCTCAGTCGATACTCACCGGTTCTGACAGTAACATGAAAGTCTGTGCATGAACTTCTGTCTGGTTTACATCTATACCATCCTGAGTCAGACTGGGTCAGCTGTGTGATGGATGCATACAGGACACTGTTTATAAATTCAATGATGTATCTTCCTCTTTCAGCTCCGCCTCCATCTGTCTGCAGAAGAACCTCTCCTTGTTCTCCACATCGTCCTCTGCAGAAGGATTTGGTTTTTCCAGAGGAACCAGAGGAACAGGCGACAGTGAGCGAACTGCCAGGTTCTTTAAAGACGTGATGATCTTTGGTTCCGTCCAGCAGAGCTGCAGAAAATAACCAGTTACTTTCTGTTCTCAGTATGATGCAGTCTGATCACAGTAGCACCAGTTTCACTGCACTAACACCAGAAGCTGCCCATTTTAACCAGTCTGAGGCTAGAACAGTAAAACCAGCACAATCTAGAGAGATTAAAAACCTCTGCTTCAGTTTATCAGAGACTCACCGTCTGCAACAAACAGTCTGAAGTCTTGGTAAATGGCTGATTTTGAAGAGTATCCCAAACCACATCTGTAGAGTCCTGAGTCAGACTGGGTCAGCTCTGAGATGCTCACATAAAGCGAGAAAAATCCAGAAGTAATTTCTTTAAATTGCTCCGTTTTATATCGTTTTGTTTGAGCTAAAAGCTCTTTGGTTTTAATCAGAATGTTTCCTGCTTCACAGTTTTTCCTGCAGAAGAATGTCCAGGTCCCAGACATATAAAGGCCACACATAGCTGTGATGTTTTCTCCAGCTACACCGTACAAGTTTTTCAGTGCATTAGTAGAAATTCTGTTTATGACCTGCAGAGCTGCAGAGAATAGCAACAGGTTGGCGTTAGCTCTTCCTGTGAGAAACCACCAATGATTGACATTTCTACACACACCAATAGAAAGGAAGTCATAAATGTTCTAGCAGAAGTTAAAAATGAGCAGAAGTAGATGTTTGGGTGAAACAGAACAGATGTGTCTGTGTTGCGCAGTTAGCTGCTAAAGACATGACAGCATTTAAAGGGAAACTGTTAAAAGATTCATTGATCTAAACTCTACAAGATGAAAGACGGTGAAGAGACGATGCTCTATCAGCGCCATGTTATTTAGGAAGGACACTGAGCTTTCCTAACATAGAACAGACTGAACTACAGCCATGTTATAGACATCTGACACACATCTATTCAATTAAATTCTATTCAGTTTATTTCTATAGCTCCAATTCCCATCATGTCATCTCAGGTCACTTTCTAGTTCACCAGATCATCCAGTCAGATTGATTCAAAATTTTCTATCTAAGGAAAACCAGCTGATTGCATCGACTCATTGACTCTTCAGCAATCCCTCACACTAAGCATGCTTGTAGCGACAGTGGAGAGGAAAAACTCCCTTTGAACAGGAAGACCTCTACTGTAAGGTCTGACAGCTGGAACCCCCAAAGACCAGGAGCCAATTCAGCTTCATGAACAGAAACAAGAAAGAAAGGAGGAAGATCAGCGGAAATGAAATGCTTGGAGAAACGAGTAGCTGATAGAAAAACATCCAGAAACCTGTTGGAGGTAAGAGGTTGAATGCAGTAGCAGACAAAAATCATAAACTAAAAATTATTGAATAAAAGGCAAGAAATGAACTAAAACTGAAAACAATATTACAAGAAATTGGATGATGAACATTAATGATTAAATGATTGTGCAGGAAAGTTTTGAACCGTCACCTTAACATGGTGGAGGGGTTTCAGTGCCTGGTGATCCCAGAGGCTATGTTGTCAGGGGCTAAATGCCCCTGGTAGGGTCTCCCAAGGCAAACAGGCTCTGGGTGACAGGTCAGACAAAGAGCGGTTCAAAAACCCTCATGACGAGAAATACAGCAAGGCAAGTGACGTCACCCGGGACCCCACCCTCGAGCCAGGCCTGGGTTTGGGGTTCGTCGGTGAGTGCCTGGTGGTCGGGTTTTTCCTCGCGGGACTGGGCCGGGCCCAGCCCGAAGGAGCAACGCAAGGCCATCCCCCAGTGGGCCCACCACCTGAACGGGGAACCATGAGGGACTGGTGCAAAGTGGATTGGGCGGCAGCCATAGGCAGAGGGTGTTAGAAACGGCCCATCCCAGGGAGGGATGATGATCGGGAGGAACGGGCCCCCAGCTCTGAACCCGAGTGGTGTCTCATTATTGGACTTCTGTGCAAGTCATGGATTGTCCATAATGAACACCATGTTCAGGCATAAGGATGTCCATCGGTGCACTTGGCACCAGGACACCCTAGGCCGAAGGTCGATGATCGACTTTGTAGTCATATCTTCTGATCTTCGGCCGCATGTCTTGGACACTCGGATGAAGAGAGGGGCGGAGCTGTCCACCGACCACCACCTGGTGGTGAGTTGGATACGCTGGAAGAGGAGGAAGCCTGAATGACTGGGCAGGCCCAAACGAGTAGTGAGGGTCTGCTGGGAACGTCTGGTGGAACCCTCGGTCAGGGACGTGTTCAACTCCCACCTCCGGGAGAGCTTCTCTCAGGAGCTGCAGCTGCCTGTAGCTGTGGCCGTAAGGTTCGCGGTGCCTGTCGTGGCGGCAATGCCCAAACCCGGTGGTGGACACCGAGAGTAAGGGATGCTGTCAAGCTGAAGAAGGAGTCCTATCGAGCTTGGCTGGCTTGTGGGACGCCTGAAGCAGCAAGCAGGTACTGTGAGGCCAAGCGTGTCATGGCCCGGGCGGTTGCAGAGGCAAAATCTCGGGCCTGGGAGGAGTTCGGAGAGGCCATGGTAAAAGACTATCGGTTGGCCTCAAAGCGATTCTGGCAAACCGTCCGGCGCCTCCGGAGGGGAAAGCAGTGCTTCGCTAACACTGTTTTCAGTGGGAGTTGGGAGCTGCTGACCTTGAAGGAGGATATGGTCGGGCGGTGGAAGGAATACTTTGAGGATCTCCTCAACCCGACAGACACGCCTTCCGTGGGGGAAGAAGAGACGTGGTGCTTGGGGCTGGATTCGTTCATCACCCAGGCCGAAGTCACCGATGTGGTCAAAAAACTCCATGGTGGCAAGGCTTCGGGGGTGGACGAGATCCGTCCTGAGTATCTTGGAGCTCTGGATGTTGTCGGGCTGTCATGGTTGACACGTCTCTTCAACATCGCGTGGAGGTCGGGGACAGTTCCCCTGGATTGGCTGACTGGGGTGGTGGTTCCCCTCCACAAGAAGGGGGACCGGAGGGTGTGTTCCAACTATCGGGGAATCACACTTCTCAGCCTCCCCAGAAAGGCCTATGCCAGGGTGCTGGAGAGGAGAGTCCGGCTGATTGTCGAACCTCGGCTGCAGGAGGAGCAGTGTGGTTTTCGTCCTGGCCGTGGAACAGTGGACCAGCTCTACACCCCCTGCAGGGTGCTTGAGGGTTCATGGGAGTTTGTCCAACCAGTCCACATGGACTTGGAGAAGGCATTTGACCGTGTCCCTCGTGCCACCCTGTGGGGGGTGTGAGTATGGAGTCGGTGGCCCTTTGTTAGGGGCCATCTGTTCTCTGTACAAGCGGAGTAGGAGTCTGGTTCGCACTGGTTCGAGTCATGGCATGATTCCAACAGGGTTGCCCTCTGTCACCGGTCCTGTTCATAACTTTTATGGACAGAATTTCTAGGCACAGCCAAGGACCGGAGGGGGTCTGGTTCGGGGACCAGCGGATCTCGTCCCTGCTATTTGCGGATGATGTAGTTCTGCTGGCTCCCTCCTGCCAAGACCTACAGCGTGCGCTGGGGCGGTTCGCAGCCAAGAGTGAAACGGCCGGGATGAGAATCAGCTCCTACAAGTCCGAGGCCATGGTTCTCGACCGGAAAAAGGTGGCTTGTCCCCTTCAGGTTGGAGGAGAGTCCTTGCCTCAAGTGGAGGAGTTCAAGTATCTTGGGGTCCTGTTCACGAGTGAGGGAAGAATGGAGCGGGAGATCGATAGACGGATCGGTGCAGCTGCTGCAATAATGCGGGCGCTGCACCGGTCTGTCGTGGTGAAGAGAGAGCTGAGCGAAAAGGCAAAGCTCTTAATTTACCGGTCGGTCTACGTTCCTACCCTCACCTATGGTCATGAAATCTGGATCATGACAGAAAGAACGAGATCCCGGATACAAGCGGCTGAAATGAGCTTCCTCCGCAGGGTGGCTGGGCTCTCCCTTAGAGATAGGGTGACGAGCTCGGTCATTCGGGAGAGGCTCAGTGTAGAGCCGGTTCTCCTCCACATCGAGAGGAGTCAGTTGAGGGGGCTCGAACATCTTCTTTGGATGCCCCCTGGATGCCTCCCTCATGAGGTGTTCCCGGCACGTCCCACTGGGAGGAGGCCCAGGACATGCTGGAAAGACTATGTCTCTTGACTGGCCTGGGAGCGCCTAGGGCTTCCCCCAACAGAGCTGGAGTAGGTGTCTGCGGAGAGGGAAGTCTGGAGTCTCTGCTTAGTCTGCTGCCACTGCGACCCGGTTCCGGATAAAGCGGAAGACGACGAATAAGAGTACGAGTTTTATTTATCATTTGAGCTTATTTAAAATGTCTCTAAAATGTTTATAATGTGGGAACTGTTTTCACACCAGCTCAAGATGTTAGAGGGACATATTTGGAGGAAAAAAAGAGTATTAAAGGTGATTGAATAGTTACTGGTAAACCTAAACCAGTAATATTCATTCTGGATCAGCTGTCTGATCTACTTTCTATAGTTCTAGTGAGGACGCAGGCAGCAGCGTCTGGATCAGCTGTCTGATCAATTTTTTCTGATTCAGCTTTTTTCTTTTCTGATCAATTTTACTAAAGACTAAGGAAACAGTAGAAGCCATTGAACGTTTTGCAGCTTTCCTGGGCCTATCCTCCTTCAATTCCTTTTTAAACATCAATCTTTGTACTAAAATATTCTTTCTGTCATTATTTGTGTACATTAAGATCTAAAGAGAAGCGCCACCTCCTGGTCAGACCCTGTACTTCAGTAAAAGGGTGGAGTCTGAGTAACAAAATGAAGCAGGAGGGGGGGGTTGACTGTAGTGGCTGGAAGTCGGAGGGCAGTGGGCGCCATTTGGCCTCCGTTTGACTGGGTACGGCCATTTTGAATGGCTGCTACTGTAGTTTTTCAACATTAGTCCTTTAATCCAGGAGATTTGGTCTCTGATGTAAAACAGTTAATGTTGTTTATCCTTTTTTAGCCTCTGTGTTTTATACGGATTCTTTTATTTTGTAAAGCTGGGGTAAAATCTTTGAAAGGTCTGTTTTTCGAAAGTCAGCAGGAGCAAAGATAAGAGCAGCCACAGCAGCAGCAGCAGCCTAGCAGGTACTGATGTGTGGTTGATGACAGTAGACCACATCAGACGGAACAGTTTCCTTCCTGAATAAGTCAGGGAACACAACAACCAAGCAGCTAAGGAACCAACCCACAGCAGCTGCTGCTAGTGGATTGATTCCAAGACGCAGATCAGAAATCCAGACGTTTGGAACACGGTGGAAGGGAACAAGAGTGAAGGCGAAATGGAGTCGATGGAAATGATGCATACGAGCAGCAACTAATAGAGAAAGAAAGAAATGGAAACGTTTTAGGAGAATAATGAAGGGAATCATAGGAGTATAAAAATCAACTAAATAATTTAGTCAGCAGAAGAGCTGCTGTAGTTGCTGCATGGCGGGAACGTCGCTCGCTTTATTTGAAAGGTCTGAACCTGATGTCTTGATGAATCCTGCACCATTTTACAGCTGAATTCATTATTATGGCTCACATTTAATTAAAGCTGAAGGAATCTGAGACACAAAGTGCATATTTGATACTAAACTGTCACCATTTTACACCTTTAACTATGTTCCTCCTTTGCGTTTAGAAGATTCCCTCTGAATTTGGAGTTTACAGATTTTATTTCAGTTTCAAACTAAACTTTGAAATGTACATGTGAAGAACATTTACATGAAATCTGCTTGGTTAGAAAATATCTGCAATCATTCAGAGAAAAGGAAATATTCAGACTGAAGCTACAGTTTCTAAAACACTGGAATTATTTATAAACTGACTGAACGTTTCTGGAAAAACAAACAAGAGAAGAAGTAAATAAGGAGAAAATTTACTCACAAACCCAGATGAAGCAGATCAAGCACTTGCGGATGTTCATGATGAAGCTAATGAATTGCTGCTGCAACTTTTCACACTTTTTGCTGTTGAATTGAACGACTTCCTCCTCTAGACATGATGCAGAGCGTCAGTCTTCCTCTGTCTGTCATCTGCAGCCACAGTCAGGCTCTCCGACTTTTCTACGTCTCCAGGAAGACGTTAAATATAATATGTTTATTATCTTTTCAAAGTGCAACATACAAAAACACACGAGAGTATAAAGCATACACATATTTAAAAAATTACCAAAACAACAATAGTAATAATACAAGAAAAAAACATTCAATAACAGAGGGAAAGAGAAGAGAGAAAGATAGGAAGAAAAAAATAAAAATAAAAAATGGAAACAAGCCAGACAAGTTATCTAAGTAACAGTTAAACTGCACTGATTACCTTTTATACTTTAGGAACTACATGTCTATGAAGCCATGCTGAGAAACTGAGCGGCTGTCAGGGTCAGTCTGAGACTGAGAAAGATGATCCAGAACCGCCTGACAGATACTGTAGAACTTATTAGTGGAGCCTTTAACATCGTACCGCAGTTTTTCCACATTTTAAACCGAGGAACTTTGTCAGGTTTCCACAATCTTGATATCACTTCCTTAGCTATTACCATTCCATAAACCACAGTTTGTATAGAAATGCTGCAGTTCTTCAGTCGGGGAGAATCTCCATCAATGCAGGCCGGGGGTCTGGAATTAAGGTGCATTTCTAAATGATATATCTGATAGTGATGGAGGAAAAGCATGGTTGCGGTAAATTTGGGCGTGAACTGATTCATTCGTTAGGTCACAGTGTACCTTCATTTGTTTCCATATCTTTAAACAGTTTAAAACAACAAAATTATTTAGTCCACTATTTCTGGGGGAAATTGGTGCTGAGAAAAGAAGTTTATGAAGAGAAC